GTGGTAGTGGTAGTGGTGCTGGTAGTGGTAGTCAGTGGTAGTGGTAGTGGTGGTGGTGGTGGTGGTGGCGGTGGTGGTAGTGAGGTAGTGGTAGTGGTAGTGGTAGTTGTCGTCGTCGTCGTCGTAGTAGTAGTTTAGTTGTTGCAGTAGCAGTAGCAGTAGTGGTAGTGGTAGTGCTAGTGCTAGTGGTAGCACTAGTAGCAGGGGAAGGAACAGGATCAGGAGCAGGAGCAGGAGAAGAGATTGAGCGAACCTGATCTCTAACCTCTGAATATTGAGGCAGTGTTTTGTTGTTACTATTGTTGCTGGTTGTCTTGCCGATAGTGGTTTTGTTTCTACTGGCCTGCAACTCGAACATCCTTTCCGGAACCCTTGAAAGCCGTGAAGCCCCTAACCTTCCAGCCCCAACGGCAAAAACCTAAGCGCTCCCAAGCCCTAAACGCTTCAAGCCTAAACCCCAATCCCTAATCCCCTTCAGCCCGAAGCCGTAAGACCTTCAACCCCTTTTCAAGATACCACGCGGTCGACCTCGACTCGGCGCCTTCCACGCCTGGCGCAATTGCAAAGGAGGTCATCCATCAGGCAGCGGGGCCTTCGACCGATCGTAGGGCAGGGGCCTTCGTCATCGAGATTTGGGGTACATAGATAATTGACTACAGCGGGACATTATTGATAATTATCTGAGGGTCCCCTGAAGAAGCTCATGGCGTGGAAACCCCCGAAACACTAGCCTGACGATAGCGATGTCGAGTTGCAGAGCTGCAGAATTCGAAAGCCTCGGGTGCAAGTTGTGGAGATTTTAGCTTTCACAGCGGCCGGGTCTGTGCCGCTTTCAGGGAGGAAGCTCATGGGTTTCATTCCGCAAGCCGACTGTCAAAAGAGAAGGATGTTCAACTTACAGAGGATCCACCACTACCACCACTACTGCTAAGTACTACTGCTGCTGCTGCTGCTACTACTACTACTACTACATTGTGCCGGGAGTTCAGGACCAGAAAGGTTGCCGGTCATCTTGGTCATCTTGCAATCTTGTCAGCTTGGTCATCTTGCTCGCCCACCTGGTCATCTTGGTCATCTTCCGGCAGTGTCAAGATGACCAGGTCATCTTGCAATCTTGGTCATCTTGCCCCAGTTGCCCACTAGCCCGACTAGTTTACCATCTGGACCAAGATGAACAAGATGGCCGGTCATCTTGCATCCCCCCAAGTGGGGCAAGTGGGGCAAGATGACCAAGATTGCTGGTCATCTTGCACCTCTTAGTGGTTCTAAATTCCCGGCACACCGTACTACAACAACTACTACTACTACTACTACTACTACTGCTGCTACTACTACTACTACTACTCCTACTGCTACTGCTACTGCTACTGCTACTGCTACTGCTACTGCTACTACTACTATCGTAGTAGCTACTCT